ATCAGGTGGAACTAGTACCTTGGAATCTTAAGGCACAGGAGCCTGAGTAGTGGGCAGCCATCTTTTCCCTATTTCTCTCCGTATGTGCCACCAGAACTGGAGCTGTCCTGAGCTAGCCTCTGTTTCATTTTGAAAAATGAAGAATGTATCAAAGATTGAGCCACTACCTATCTGGGAAGGGAAGCAAAGACCTCCGAGTCATTTTGAAAACTTCGAGTCTTCTGAGGAGCTGGTTCAGCAGAAGAGTGACATGTGGGGGTAGGCTTTAGTTCCTCTGCAAACCCTAACGTGTAGCCTGTTTGTATGTGTTTGACAGCTGAGCGTGAGATTGTCCGTGACATCAAGGAGAAGCTGTGCTACGTAGCTCTGGACTTTGAAAATGAGATGGCCACTGCTGCCTCCTCTTCTTCCCTGGAGAAGAGCTATGAACTGCCCGATGGGCAGGTGATCACCATTGGGAATGAACGCTTCCGCTGCCCAGAGACCCTCTTCCAGCCATCTTTTATTGGTAGGCACTGGGGAGCCGAGTCTCGCTGTTCTGTACCCAGCCAGTCCTGGCTACCAGTACCCATTGGCAGGTAGAAATGAATCAGGGCTTCAGAAACAGAAGCAGTTTTACAACAGGGAAAGTGCCACACTGTCAAAATGAGAAGACTCCAGGGAGCCAAGAAAGGACTTGAGTGCCTCGGAAAGTTCTCTTAAGTCGCGGTCATGACAAATGTGTTCTCAGCATATAGTGCAAAATATGAACGCTATCTATGTTTCGGATGTAGTGGAGCACAGGGATGGTTGGGGAAGAAGAACTGAGTGCTGCTACAAGTTTGGGAATGGTGGGGGGAGGGGCATAACCAGAGGGTACCTATTGCACCCTGGCATGGCAGTCACAGAGGCTTGTGCAGAGAGATCCCCTTGGGAGGCTGGGAGCCTGAGCTTGAGACTTTGTTCTAGTCTCAGGATTTTGAGAATGTCACTTAACCCGAGACTCAGTTTCCTCCTACTAGGATAGCTGGAAGATTTATAGCAAAGTTGTATAGCACCCTCACCCCAGTGCCTGTTCAAAACCAACATTCAACAATTTGCTACTGTCAGTAATGAGCAATTAGGTGGTGGTGTTACTATTACAACTAGATGACAGGGATAAGAAGGATGAGGGGGCCACCTAGAGGTTTATTACAAAAAAAAACCATGCATCAGAAATCAACACGAAAATCAGCCCCACACCCCCACTCCCCCACCCCCACCGCCAAATGTCTGTACAAAGATTGCATAAAAAGCTTCTTGGTAGCTGGGCATGGTAGTACATGCCTTTGATCCCAGTACTAGAGAGGCAAAAGCAAGCGGATCTCTATGGGTTTGAGTCCCGCTCGTTCTATAGCAAGTTCCAGGCCAGTTAAGGAAACGTAGGGAGACCAGCGTTAAAAAAACAAAAAACAAAAAAGCAAACAACAACAACAAGAAAAAACCGTTTATCTAAGTAGGAGAGACACTTTTCTGATGACTCCATCATTCCACCTTGGGTGCGAAATAACAGCTGGGGAGAGATGGGAGTGTTTTGATCAATGGCTCCGGCCCTCCCTTTTACGGAGCATCTGAAGGCCTAGCCCCTCATTCAAGCCACATACAGCAGAATCTCTACTGAGACAATGGTGTTAGCATGTTGTAACCTCACCCTGGAAGTGCTGCAGCTGAGCCTCCTCATTAGATAGGAGGCAAGGAGGGCGTGGAGCCTAACAAGGCCCTTTGGCCTCTTGGATGGTAGTTTCTAGTTCCTGATGCCTGCCAGCCTCACCCAGATTAGGCAGTTGTGCCGACATGGTTATTCACGTTCAACCCAAGTTTCTCCCCAGCACCCAAGGTCCACGGCTTGTGTCTCTTTTCCAGGGATGGAGTCGGCTGGTATCCATGAAACCACCTACAACAGCATCATGAAGTGTGATATCGACATCAGGAAGGACCTCTATGCTAACAACGTCCTCTCAGGGGGTACCACCATGTACCCGGGCATTGCTGACCGGATGCAGAAGGAGATCACAGCTCTGGCACCTAGCACCATGAAGATCAAGGTACCACATTGAGAGACTGTGATTCGCGAAGGGGGAGGGGCAGTTCTAGAGCAGCCACCAGCTTGTGAGGCAGGCTAACGGGTTCTCTGTTGTTTCCAAAGGGAACGAGGCTGAGGCGGGAGTGGTTTAGACTTAGACACATCCCCCTTAAACTTAACAGGCTCTGAGAAAGCCTTTCCAGAGGACTGCCTGGGGAGAGGGGAGCACTGCTTCCTGGAGGGCTCCTGCTCCTTTGAAGACTCCCCTTCCCTCCTACGGCTGAGCGTGCTGCAGAACCTACTTAGTTGGAGTTTGCAAACAGGCAGGCTGCAGGCCATGGGACTTAGACAAAGCCCCAGTTCTCCAAACTTTCCTTCTTAAATGGAAACGGATGTGAAACTTGGGGGCCCGGTATGGTCAGAGAGCACCGAGAGCCGATAAAACCGGGGACGCCAAGATGACTTGTGCACAGAACGAGCCTGAATAATGTCAGGAGGTGTCTGGACGGTCTGGGCCACTTTCTGGAAACCTGAAATTATCACCAAACCCTCCCACCGTGGGAAAAGAAAAATGTGTAGCGTCAAAACAAAACTCGTGTGGGGACCAGTTTTTAAATTAAACCTGATACTGACACAGCCACTGGAGACCATTACTGACCGTCCCGTGAGCCTCTTTCTTTGTATGTAACAGGAGAATCATTGGACACCTACCCTCCAAATTTGTTATAGGAGTCAAACAAGCTAGTACCTGTAAAGCGCTTAGCCGATACAGTGAGAGCTCCGTGAATGAGGAAAAAAACTGAATGTTGAACCAGAGCTTGTGGGCAGACAGGAAGAAAACCTGTGAGCAGCGTTTCAGAACGCTTGGTTCACTAGCGCGTCCACTGCGAGCCGGGCAGCGAAGACTCGAGTACCGTTTGATGTCACTCACCTCCATGTTTGAGTGGCTGTGGCATATCACACCCCGGCCTGATGCTCTGCACTCTGCCTAAGCTATTATTAGCTCAACAAAACCAAAACAACAAAAGAGTGAGCCATGTCCAGTTTGCACTCTGACTAAAGCCAGCCCCTGCAGGGGAACACTCGGACAGGGGACATGGGGGCGCTGTGTGGGACGGTGCATCTGGTTGGGATTTCAGAAAGCAGTGGCCAGGTCAGCCGGGAAAAAGAACACGAGGAAATTTCTGGAACAATTACAACATCTTCACACACACTAGGACTTCTACAGAGAGGGCGGGTCCTGCTGAGCTCTTAGGCACAGCTCCTGGAATCTCTTCGGGAGACACTGGCAGGGCTTTTACGCAGAGGCCCCACATGACCTAAGGCCAGTTGGGGTTTGCTCAATGAAGGGGTAAAGGAATAGGGATGGTTTGACATAGATTGCATGAAAAAAAAATCAGTGGGTTCACTGGGGAATCCTGATACCCCGGCTTGAGAAGAACGCCCCTGTTTTCCAGGAAGGGCCGGCATGAGGCACTTTCTCCTGGCGCTAACGCTCTCCTTTTCTTATCCTGACAGATCATTGCCCCTCCAGAGCGCAAGTACTCCGTCTGGATCGGCGGCTCCATCCTGGCGTCTCTATCTACCTTCCAGCAGATGTGGATCAGCAAACAGGAATACGATGAAGCTGGTCCCTCCATCGTCCACCGCAAATGCTTCTAAGTCACCTCCCTGCTCTGTCTCTAGCACACGACTGTGAATGTTTCGTGGATTAGCGCCTTCGGTTCCTTTCTAAATCATTCCTACCCAAAGCTTTGACTTGTTACTCGTGTTTTTAAATAAATGAGACATGTGCTACCCTTAACTTCTAGCTCTGGCCTATCATCAACACTGTGAATCGGTTGTTTCGGTTAGGTGGGACTCATTTATATAGGGTGGCTCCCTCTAGTGGTCAAAAATAACGGGACACAATTAGAATGACTCGTTCCCAGGCAACGGATAAAAATCATTTCAACAGGGGAAGCCCCACTTAAAACAGGATATAAACAGGATGCATTTGAGAGTGCATAGGACATGTATATATTACATATAAGAATATATACTAGTGCCAGGAGGAAAAATCTACACTGACTTCACGACTGAGTGACTCTATTACTTTATACATACAATGGTAGTCTGATAGGAGAAAGGTGAAAACAAAAATCTTACATCTATTTAAAATTTGGCAGGCAATATGGTTTTATTAAAATTACATCTTTTATTAAAATTACATCATACACCTATGCATGAATATGCATGTGTGGTTTTTAATTTGCACCAAGTCTTGTATATTATTTGACTTTAATGTACTTCAAACCTTGTGTATTTAAGAAGGTGTAATTGTTGAGTTTGATTTTGTAAAGAACATACCTTGTAAAACCCTGAGAAACTTCTTTAGAAGTCTCATAATGCACCTGGATCATCTTTTCCTCTTCCTTTGACCAACATCTCTCTGAAAAAAACTGCAGCGGGTGTATTTACACTAAAAGGAAGGAAAAATGGCAGTTCTTCCCAAGGACTAGGCATGTCGCTCATCATGCATAGGTTTGTCACACGTCACCACTATCTTTTCTTTAAAATTATGTGTAGATAGTGTCATCATCAGCCATCACATGAAGAGACCAAGGGTGTCCCAGACAGTAGTTACTTTTAGGGGGAACTACTCACTTCAACAGTTCCTCTCTATCAGCTTGAGAAGGACAAAGATTTAAAAAAAAATACCAGGCATTGGCGCTGGAGAGTTGGCTCTGTGGTTTAGAACGCTTGTTGGTCTTGCAGGGAACCCCGAGCTCAATTCCTAGCACCCACATGATGGCTTCCAACCAGCTGGCTGTGACTTAAGTCCCAGAGGACCCAAAGCCCTCTTCTGACCTTTGTTGGCACGAGGCACACACAAGGTATTTAGATATACATGCAGGCAAAACATTCATACATGTAAAAATAAAACAAATACATCGAAACAAAATTTTACAAATAGACATATTGTTATTTGCAGCACAATTTATTTCTGAGGATATTATTTGGGTACATTAATAGGTATAGATTGAACAGCATGTGACCTCCTTTGAGACACAGCAACCCAAAAAGGAAACTTCAAAATGTGCAAGAACAATAAATATCAAAGTTTTGGTCTAAAATATATAAATATAAAATATCAGTCACTTCTGGAAACATCATAAGAAATTCAGCAGCCACACGTATCTATGGCAGGTATCTGGTGAGGATGGTCTTGTGTTTGCAGTATGTCACCTCAGATCCAACACAGTTGTTTTTATGTCTTTTACTAACACATGGCTGCATATCTAAAAAAGAAAAAAAAAACAGTGTTACATAATAATGTTTAATGTGTGGTTTTCTTTAGGGAAAGTATATAGAGTCCTTAGTTATTTTTTTCCTGAATTTTATAAATATTGCTGAATTGGGATAGGGTAAACATAACATAAACATCTTTGAGAATAATTCATGCTGTCTATTCACACTGAACATCTGTGAAAATAATCCCTGCTGTTGAGCCAGGCATTATTTATTATCCTGCATCTTTAAACACAGCTCTTAGGAGGCAGAGGCAGGTGGATCTCTCTGAGTTGAGGGTAGCCTGGTCTGTATAGGGAGTTCCAAGGTTACACAGAAAGACCCTGTCTCAACAATAATAATAATAATAATAATAATAATAATAATAATAATAGTGACAGCAACAACAATCATCCATGATGTCTACTCACACTGAACAGCCTGGGGTCCTTGGTGTGAGGATGAAAGCCCTTCTTTTTACAACTGGAAACCTCAAGCATGCCCGCATTGGTGAGCCTGAAAATGCCAGTGCTAAATATGAAGATGAAAATAAACACAAAGTTAAAGACCATTTGGGAAGACATAAACCCGCACATTCCTCAGATGGGATGGAGGAAGAAATCACAAACAAGGAATTCCCAGTGACTCTCACAACTAGCCTTACTATGACTACCATTAGATACACTGATCTCCAAGCACCCACAGGACCCAAAAGGGACAGGTAGTTGAGACCCCATAGGAAAGGTGATACACACGTTCTCCACCCCAGCAGATAGGTCTAACTTCTGTAAAGTTAGTGTTCCTTACATCAGTGATCAGGCAGGTGGCAGTGTTGGGCACTGTGATAAACACATCAGAGAAATTCTCATCTAGTGTCCTCCACACCAATCCAGGACAGGCAAGGACGAAGGAGGAAGCAGGATAAAGAAGTTGGATCATTGTACTACGGTATCCTGAAGCTTGCAGGTAGAGTCAGGCTTCAAGCAACGTCTGTCTGATTTTTATGATTGTAACTACTTGTGAACTGAAGTCTCCAAAAAATGAAAAGCCACTCCTGTATTAACAGATCTGTAATAGGAGGCTAGAAACTGAACTCCTTGGTTTGGAGTTAGAATGTTGTAGACAAGTGCCATATTATCTAGAGCTGTTTTTAGTTTCCTTCAAAACTATTCACTGCCCACCTTTGTGTGGATGACTATGAATGACAGTTTTAGCAAATATTCCTAACAGACCTTTTATTAATCCCAAAGTTATAAACACCATCAGACAACATGTGATCCCCACGGCACAGTTTGCCCCCTGCTTTTCTGTAACCATTCTACATGCTGTTTCTGCCAGTGCATTTGGTAAATGGTTTGATTTATAACTAGCTTTGTTCTGTAAACAGCAAAATCTAATGCAACCGCTTCCACGGTGGCTTATGTTTTTCAGGGCAACTTGAATCCACATTCCTGGGTCACGGCCACTTACATTTAGCTCCAGAATATAGTCATTCTTTCCAAGATGAGAATGACTAGTGTTAATATAATAACATTTGTATTCCCAAACTAGGAAAGCTTTTGTGGTAACTGAGCAAGGCTAAGTAAATGTCTTTCATAGGACACAAAACAGTAGAAATATGATTTCAAAATCAACTGGGATGGCAACCCTGTTACATGCTATCATAGGACATATGTTGACATATTACATGTTATAACAGAAGGGGAACTGGCAGGCTCACCTTTGAAAGGGCTTAAAACAACAGCAACAATAGATTATGGAGGTACAGGGATACAGAAACTAGCCATAGCCCATCTCTTGCCGAAGAGCCTCATATCCAAGCACCCTAGCATGACGGACTTGGGGGCCCTCATCACACTTACTCTTTATGCTTTGGGGAACACACAATGGCAATAGCCTCTGGCAACATAAGCTGATAGGAACAGTGAGTATGAAGATCCACACTGGACAGGAATGCAGTTTGCGTGGGGTGTGTCTACAAATGGGAAAGAAGACAGTCTCGTTACGGAAGCCCAGGTTTTGCTTAAAACCTTTCCAGTAATTTTCACTAAGCAAACGCACATGAAAAACATGTTTTGGTGAGGGCTGCTGAGGTTGCCAAGTGGGTAAAAGTGCTTGCCAAGCAAGCCTGATGACCTGGATCTGACGCCTGGAACCCACGGTGGGAGGAGAGAACTGACTCCCTGAAGTAGGTCCTCTGACTTCCACATGTGTGCCATGGCATCTGCACACCTGCACTTGCACACATCACACTATTACTATGACGACGACTACTACTACTACTAACAATAACAATACATAAATATAAATTAATTAGGTAGGGCTGATATAATTCTTCCATTTCTACCATGCTATTTCTTGCTTGGAATAATTATGACTTAGAGACAACATTCCTACGTGTATATATGCCTTCTTTGTGCAAAAGAGTGCTATGGCTTCACTTGCAGGGGGCTTTAAGTAGATCCTCCATTAATCTAACGAGGTAACAATCTGACTAAGTCTACAAACAAGGATCTCCAGACTCAAGAAGAGGAAGCAACATGGCCACAGAGATCAGAAACCTGGAGTCTTGTACACTTTTGTATCCTTACAGAACTAAATATAGCACATAAATGAGACTGTCTGTGGTTCTTTGTCCTTATAAACAGGATGAGGGGGTCTCCAAGTTGCTGAAGGTGTTTGATACTCATCAAGCTTAGCCACTGAAACTGCATAAAGAGAAAGGAGAACATAAATAAAATCCTGTCTATGCTAAACACTCACCCTGCCATAGAGCCACTCACCAGTAGTCTCATTGTTAAAATGCAAAGATTTAGCAGAGGGATGAGTAAGAGGGCTTGACATCTCTCCTCTGCCAGAGAGCATCGTTTTTGAGTAAAACAGGGCTTTCTATGTCATGACAGAATGGAAGATGTGTTCTAAGGAACCACTGTGCTGTGGAGGCAGCAAGCAAGTTGTCACATAGAAAAGTTACTATGGCCATCAATTGACTTCAGACTGAATGCACCCATGTAAACATCTGAGTCCTTCATTTCTGCCTCCAAGAACCGTTTCTACGCTCAGGAGCACATCTCTCCCATGGGGGCATGGTACTCCCATTGCAAAGGAAAACGGTGGTGGTGGTGGTGGTGGTGGTGGTGGTGGTGGTGGTGGTGTTGGTGGTGGTGGTGGTGGTGGCAGCAAATGGCATGTATTACAAAGAAACAAAGTGGTATGCCGAAAATGAATCACTTTCCGTGAATTATGACAGAGTTCTCACTAAGGTGTGTGTTGTTATTATCCCTGTTCTGTAGACAAGGATATGACAGATAAACAGTGCAGCATCTCCTAGAAATCAAAAGAGTCAGTCAAGCTAAGACATTTAAAATTCAACTCCAGGTCTGCCAGATCCATTCAGACATTTTACCTGATGACGAGTTTCTATAGGAGATCTAGCCCTGGGATTGGCTGCTATTATCATATGCTATAAAAACCAGCAAGACTTCGCCAAGCTTCAGAAACGTAACTGACAGCTGTGCATTTTCATTCCATCACAACAGCTTGACTCAGTAAAGTCAATTTAAAACTAAAGTCTTGGAAGTCTAGAATGATGGCAAGTCCATTATTTAAGCAACTTAAATTCACTCTAGTGTACACAACAGATGTAGCACCTCTTAGGAAAACCTCTGATTCTAATTTGGGAATTGTTCATCAAGATGAACACAGACTGGCCTGCACATGCAATTTTAAAAACTACGACTTTAGTTTGTTATAATTTCCTTGCTACGGCTTGTGTATGTGCGTGCGTGCATGCATGCATGTGCAATACGGTGGTGTATGTACATGTTTATGTAGGCATGTGCATGTAGAGGCCAAAAGATAACATCAGGTGTGTTCCTCTATTGCTCTCCACCTTATTTTTTGGGTCAGTTTTTCCTATTGGACCTGCAGCTCACTAACTTGTCTAGGCTGGCTGGCTGGCTGGCTGGCAGTTGCCAATGATCTGCCTTGTCTCTAACTGTCTCTTCAGTTCTGGGACTGTAGGATCATGTGGCAGCATCCAGCTCTTGAGGTAGGTACTGTGGTTCTGAACTCAGGTCCTCATTTTTGCATGGCAAGTGCTTGTACCAACTGACCCATCTCCCCAGGCCTCTGTGCTATAATTATTTTTGCTGTAAAATGCAGTCTAGATAAATTCTATTAGGCTAAATAAAGACTTTAAAACAGCAATTTCCATCCAATAGTAAGGCATATTATTTATTAAGTAAGCCAAATAAATGAGTAGAAAGTTTGTTTGACAATAAATTGAGGGTTGATTTATACATTTCATAGGGCTTTCATAACTTATCTTTATTACTGATCACATCAAATCAGTGGGAGAACTCATTAGCTTCACTTAATGAGAGAACTTGAAAATAAGGAGTTAGTAGTCCTAAGAGGACAGAGGGACCCAAAGGCGGAGCGTGAGTGATGTCTCCTCCACTCTCCTAAATTACCTTGTAATAACACTTAGCAAGTGTGTGTATGCCCACACTGCTCCTACCTAGCACTTTTCTACAAATAAATAAAATGCTAACCAATCCCACACTGCTCCTACCTAGCACTTTTCTACAAATAAATAAAATGCTAACCAATCCCTACTCACTCTTTAGGTCTATTGCAAGCACCCACTGTGCCTTGGAACTTTTGGCCTGCATCCCACGCTAGTGAGATGACTTGTCTCTGTCTGCTATCATTAGAATGATGTTCCCTTGATATTCTGTAAAGGAACCTAATCAAAGAGACGGCAGTGGGAGGTGTGGCCTTCAGGAGGTGACCAATAGCACCCCCGAGTAAGGGCTTCAGGGTGAAGGGAGAGTTCTCTTGCTCTTCCTTCTTCCACCATGAATGGATAGAGCAACGAGGTGTTACTTTGGAAACAGAAAGCAGCTCTCACTGGACACCAATGCCTTGATGTTTCTACCAGTCCCTAGAAGTGTAAGAATGAGACCTCTCTTTTTTATAAATTATCTAGTCTCAGATATTTTACTGCAGGTGCATAAACAGACAAACACAGTGCCCCAGACTGAGCTGTATACAACGGAATAGAAAGAAAAATCCCTTAGATAATCTGAACTATGAAAAATAGACCACCTTCATCAATAACAAGTCATCGTTTTCTGAGTCTCTAGAAAATATTAAGAAATTCACTGGCATTATTTCATTTCTCATTCAGTATTAAATGAAGTCAATTATTATGGTTCCTACTTTGTGGATGGCGAAGCTGCTGTCACAGTTAACCTCACTTGCCAATGTTTCTATCATGAACGCTTAGAGGAGCTGACATTTATTAAACAAATGTCTATATGATGTATAAGCCTAGTTTCACATCTGCAGTGGCCCGAGAGATGTTAGAACCCAACACTTTGACCCTAGCCATTTGTTCAACTCCCCAGCCACTTTATGTATACGCTTCTGCTCTGTAGGGCAGGCAGGACACTGAGTGTGTGGACCCCCTTTGGTATACACAAACACTGTTTAAAAGAAATGTCATCAGAAAAGGCTTATAAGCCAATTTAGACCCACAGCAAAGGAAAGGAGACTATTACACAGTTAAGAATCTGGCTAAGTCTCTGTTAGATTATCTGAACCCATCCAAAAAAGACCTACTGTCATGTGTTCCCTTTGTTAACTCTGGGTGAAACAGAGGTATAGGATACTCCTTTTAAATCCAGATGTGACAGATTTAGACACAGCCCGTCATTGAACAAACTGCTTTAATACTGTGATACTGATTACCTCCAGGAAAACATAAAAACAAGAAACTATTTAAATTCAGCTAAATCCCTGTATGAAGAAAACAACACACCAGACAAAAACAAACCAAAACACCAAAGGCCAAACGTACATGAATCCATCCAAGCGTGAGGAGACCATGTTGATCCTGGACACTGAACAATTCCTCTACATTCTCCACATCGCAATAGTCTGGGCCCGCAGACTGTTTTGGCACGATCACATGGGTAATAGTGAATTCATTATGTGTCTAGAAAACAATTATCCAAAAGTAGTAACAAGTCTCTGACAGAAGAGACCTCTGAAGGGGATGTGGGGTGCTTCGTTATTGGCTAGCCGACCTCGGTATTTGTACCACCCCTCTCACTAAGACACTATGATAATGCCTTGGCATACTAGATCTACAAAGGAAAATGTCTTCACACAGCAAGGCCGGTTTCTGTGGAGGGACAGACCATTTTGGCAAATGTGTGGAGTTACTAAAAGGTACTCCTGTGAGTTGTAGAGGTTGATGTCTTGTTTTTTATCAATTACATGTAATTATGAAAGAAGTAGGACTTTCCTCTAAGAGTGACCAGCGTTTTCCAAAATTAAAATAATATGGCTTTTATAATTAAGTAGAAAGGAGAAACACATCACTCTCCTTGGGGGAAATGGACGTGTGGGAAAGCAAGGGTCTTGACGTAAAAATGAGGGAAGGTTTTAGATCACTGGGCTGTGGGGTGGTGTCATCCCCTGGCCTTCCCATCCTTCTACAGCACCACAGCCCTCCAGCCTCAGGGTCTTCCTACCCCTTGAGCACTATTCTTTACACCTTGACTTGTAATCTGCCATTTTTCTAAATATTCTCTTTAGAGTGTTTTATGGAGTTTCTGAAATTCTAGAGTTCATGTTTTAGAATGCTGAGTTCTTGAACAATGACAGCTGTTTAAGGAGGTTCATGTGCATCAGGCTAATTTCATAATATTTACAGTCCCTCCCCCACATGCTTCTACCCCCATTTCCTTATCACAGGGAAGCCAGTGCTGCTGAAAGCAACCCGTTGAGAGATGAAACAAGACCTTACCAGTTTGCCACACAGGATCCCACAGGTTTCTATTCCTCTTACTGTGTTAGATTCAGCCAGCAGCAGAAATTTATGGCAAAGATCTCTTGACAAAACCACACACCTCAGTCCTTCAACCACTAAATCTAAGACAGAAAGGAGAAACATGATAAAAAAAAAAAAAAAAAAAAAAACCAAAAACAAAACCAAATCTTGGGTCTCATCCTTCAGAATTGAGTTTTGGCCAGCCAATAAAGTACAAATTTCAACACGGACACTATCAGATGCTTCACTTTCCATAGTTCATTAAAAACAAACAAATAAACAAACAAACAAACCACAACTCTTGAAAGTAAATGTTGATTAGAAGGAGGATAAACATGCAAATTATTTTATAAGCAAGTTTATAGAGAGCCAGCACTCTTACACAACTGCCCCCTGGAACAACTCTTGCATATGGATGTTTTCTTTCTGCCCATCATAAACACGCCAATGAACCCACAGACCACAGTTCACATATCCTAAGACACAGGATGAATATCCCTTAGTGTGTTTGTTATGTGTTACTTCTAGCTTAATGAATGCGAGAGATCAGTAAACAAAAGCATGTTCTTTCTGGAGACAGATACCAGTAAAGTAGCATGCACAATGGCTGCCTACCATGACTCTTAAATAGGTGCCTCCTCTGCCAACGAGAATTGCTGCTCGATTTGGGAAACTTGCTAGAGATGATGACTGGCAGTACTTAAAATTAACACCACTAACTGCTGGTGGAAACCCACATGGCTCACAGGTTATCTACTCAGGAGACTGACACTCCATTGGTCCATGCTGATGCTAAACACTGCACGTAAGCATCTGGCTATTGAGCCAGGGTCTCAGCAACTAATTTCTCAGTATCTTCTTTCGTGAGCCCCCAGTGTGTTTCCCGTTAAGATGTATGTTGCCGGGCAGTGGAGGCTCATGCCTTTAATCCCAGCACTCAGGAGGCAGAGCCAGGTGGATCTCTTGTGAGTTCGAGGCCAGCCTGGTCTAAAGAGCGAGATTCAAGACAGGCACCATAATGACACAGAGAAACCCTGTCTCAAAAAACAAAAACAAAAACAAAAAGCATGTATGTCTTGAAGGAAAATAAATGCTTTGACTTCTCACTCAAAATCTCTATCCAGTAACAAAATATGACTGCTCTGTAATCAGACAAGTTAGGTGGGTTGGATTTTAAAGTTAGATGTAGTAGAAGATGATGTGCCTGAGTCCTCCGTCACTTACTCTGAACAGCACTCAGAGTGGCCGCTGGCTTTAAGGCCCTGTTCACTGGAGGAGAGTGGTCAGCGAAATCGCTGCCATCGCTTTTAAGAGGCTGATCCGCAAATACATTCCGTAGAGAGTTGTTCTGGTGGGTGGAAAAGCAGGACAGCCCGCTTCCGTCAGTCTGCTCAGACAGCACTGGGGTGTCTTGGCCTCGCATCTGGCCCCGGGCCAACTCCTGCTTCTTGAGTTGATCTTCAAAAAACAGGAACTGTTCGGATTCTAGTTGCTGCTGGCGCATCTGAGCTATCCGCTTGCGCTCCGCCTCGATCAGTCTCTGGTGTTCCAACTTTTTGAGAATTTCGGCTTTATATTTGTTCTGAGGAGATGGTTGCCAGAAGAAAATGTTAGTTTCCAAGCCAAAAACACATGAGAGAGAGAGAGAGAGAGAGAGAGAGAGAGAGAGAGAGAGAGAGAGAGAGAGAGAGAGAGAGAGATTGATTCATAGTAAAACAACAAAAAAAATAAACATCACAGCAAAAACACTGAATTTGATAAAGAAAGCAGTTTCTATATCCATCATATTTCACGAGAGCAGCACAGACACCATGCTCTACCTTCCCCAGTGGTTCTAAATACTGGATTATTAATATCTTGTCCTCCTGACCCCTCAGATGGCTTAGAACAAAGTATCTCGTCCCTTAAACAGCACTGCCCAATCTGGTAGCCACTTGCCAGGCGCTGCTACTTAAATTCAAAGAAACCGAGATGAAATAAAACTAGCAATGCAGGGCTCAGGCACACTAGTCCCATTTGAAGTACCCAGCAGCCTCCTGTGGCTGCTGTACTGGAAATGACAACTAGAGCAGCATGTTCATTGTTCTAAGTTCTTCTGCTTGGGGCTCCCTACAGCCTTTCTGTATTTGTCTACAGAATGCATCTTCTGGGCATACTTTATGGAGAAAGGGACTCACAGAGAAGTGGTTCTCAAAAGTGGTTCACATTTCTCCTATCAGTGTTCCTATTTCTTCTAATCAAAAGTGTGTTAAAAATTAAGAATCCCAACACCCAGTCTCAACAAAATATCTGGGCATTATTAGGGTAGAGGGATACCAAGGGCTAGCGAGTTCCCAGACTGATGTTGAAAGAAACTTAGTGGCGAGCTACTGAAAGGTGGGGAAAGTACAGGGGTCTCAGTTTACACTAATGTTTTACACACGAGAATCACTCTGGGCCTTGTTAGCATTAGGGATTCTGATGTGGCACGAATTCTACACTTCTAACAACCATCAAGGGAGGCTGGTGCTGCCCACAGTCAGGGCTTACAGGTAGGTTTAATATTCTCCCTAGCCTTGGCTGCTGCCACTCTACCTCTCCAGAAATTTGCACATGGGGTTCAACTGTGGGCTGTGGGGTACGACTTTGTGAGGCCACTGGTATTACTGCAGCAGAACATGGCACAGCTGTCTGATTGCGCCTCCCAGGGAGACCCTGCAGGTACACCATCCCTACTCCCTCTACAGTTGAGCTAAAACACCTCATGCCAGCCAGCTTTCCAGCTATGCCCCAGAAGCTCTGGGACTGTTAGCAGAGGTCATGAGATTGAGGTGAAGTGAGAGGTGGTTAAGCTGGCAATTTCCAAAGCAGATGGTCACCCTGCCCCAAAGAAGCAAAGCAACACTTCTAATGATCTCGCAAGACCTAAGAACTTGCAAACAGAATCTGAGAACCCCACAAATTTACTGGTTTATCTGTCCTTTCAATGCCCTTCAGTCTCCTTTCACTGTGTAAGAGAAACCCAGAAACTAGCATCCATTGGAACTATGATTATGTTTCACCCACATGGTAAGCTGTTCTATCTTGATGAACTGTTGACTGTACTATTTAAGAACTAAATTTATTCACATTTCCAAGGCCTACATAATTAGATACATCAAAAATCAAGTTCTGTTTCTTTCTACTTTCTGCTGCTTCTGTTCATCTGGGGGGAAAAAATGTATCAGGCATCTGGCTCAAGGTTACACTGGCACAACTTGGTCAGAAGCTCCACTTAAATTTCTGTAGGAAATCTATTTCCTAATGCATTGCTTTATTAGATGTTTTAGGAAATGATAATACCACATCCTTAGAACACGTGCTTAATCTGGACATCTACATGAATCTTTTATTAGTTCCACATCACTGCATCTTTAATTTTTAATTTAAATGTATATATTTCAGAAACTCACACAGAAATGATATTCAAAAACCATTTTCACACACACACACACACACACACACACACACACACACACACACACACAGTGAAGAAATAAATGTGCCTATTGAACTTACTTTGCTTTGCAAATACTCTTGGTATTCTATGTTATATTTCCTTAGCAGGTCCTTTTTCAACTCATCTGTCCTTGGGAATGCAATCTCCTTCAGTTTCTTTAAAAATATATATATACATATCAATTAGTGGGATTTTCAGTATACTCTTTCAGAGTATCAGCTGAGAAATAAAAACAGCTAGGATGTATATTAGAAATCAAAGTATAGGAAGCAAAGATAATCTCAGAAAAATAAACCTATTCTAGAATTCCAAAATACAGCTTTTAGCAATGAAAAAAAATAAACTCTCTCTCTCTCTCTCTCTCTCTCTCTCTCTCTCTCTCTCTCTCTCTCTCTCTCTGTGTGTGTGTGTGTATCCCTTTGTAAGATCTCTATTGATTCTACTAGTTAGATAAGCATTTTGTTTAGGGAGGTACCAATAGAATTTCATATTGCATTTGGAGATCATTTATTATTGGCATTACAAGGGAGATTAAAGGTATGTAGTGGGTAGGAATTCCTACTCATGTCAGGCGTAAAAAGCAGCTGAAGAACCTTTTATAACAATTCATATTCCAAGGCTAATCCCAGATCTACTGGATTCACATCTGTAGGGAGGTGTGAGGGAGCCAGGATCTCAGACAACTTCTTTAGTGGTTCTTAGTGACAGGAAAACCTAGGGAACTGGACAGAGTCCAATCATACCCTCCCTTGTAGAGGGACGGAAGGAAAAGCCTAGTTGATGGTCCAGTTAGGACTAGGATCCAAGCTTCTTGCCTCTAGCTAAACTCCTCCATCAAAATTTCTTTCTAGGAGGTAAATGGTTACATACCACTTAACAACAGAGATATGATTTTGTTACTATGTGAAAATTATAGTATAAACTAAGATGATAATGTCACTAAGCAATAGAAGTTAAAGGAACCACTGTCATCTATAGGGTTCAGGTGTTGAAACATCATCATGTACACAGCACATGACTGTAGCTAAAACTTGGGACTACCTCAAAAATCACCCCAGATTTTCAAATAGTTATCTCATCCTGTGGAAAATAAATCAAACGCAGCTAAAGTGGTTGCTACAAGTAAGTACATGGAAAAAAACATTCTCTCAGTCTCTGGGAGGAGTTGTAATAAAATAATTCCTTCTCTATATCATAAGTTAATGGAGCACATTCCCTTCTCTCTCACTTCTTTTTCCCAGTGTAAATGAGACACTTTGAATGGCCACAGTCATAACCGTTAAACGTGTTAGGAGGAAATCAAAATGTCATGGCTGATAAAATAGGGTTCTTGTGATGACTGCCCTCTCCAGAGGATAAGACAAGGAGGAAGCTGTGACTCAATAACATAGACTTAAGGTCACTGGATCCCACAGCGGAGGGTCAGCCCAGTGTACCTTCATGATATCCTGCTTCTCCGGTACTTCACATTGCTGGTAATCTCGATGGCTGGGGAGCTTTTCCACAAACAATCTAGAGAAGCAAAAAACGCAGAATTAGCATTCTGTTGCAGCAAAAAGCTGGTGACAGTTTCTAACAAGCAATCTTTAAATCAAACAAACAAACAAACAAACAAATAAATAAAAGATCCGCTCAACAACTTTTTATTTAACTATGGTCTTTCTACTCACCTTTTCAATAGAGGTCAGCATGTACAGTATTCCAACTCTACAGTACTTATACTAAACAAAAACCTAGCAGGGCTGTGCTGGTTAGTTTTTTGTTTGTTTTTGTCAACTTCCTGCGAGCTCAAATCATCCGAGAGGACAAACCTCAGCTGAGAAAACGCCACCTTCAGACTGGCCTGGAGGCCAATCTGGAACTTTTACTTGGTTAATGATCAGTGTGGGAAAGCTCAGTCCACTATGGGTGGTGCTTCCTCTAGACACTTGGTCCTGGATTGTATAAAAAAGCAGGCTGAGCAAGCTATGAAGAACAAGCCAGTAAGCAGTATTCCTCCATGGTTTCTGTGAGTTTCTGCATCTACGTACTTGCCTTGACTTCCCTTCATGATGGACTGTGATCAGAATCATCTGTTGGAATATAAACCCTTTCCTCCTCAAGTTACTTTTGGTCATGGCTGTAGTGGGTAGCCATTCCAGCTTTGATCTGGAAGTTCCAACCCCCACTGAGACTTTGGCAACTGTCACGCCAACAAGGCGGGTCCAAGGGAGGCGGCTGGAGACCTGAGATTTGGATGGGCTGTGCTCTCACTCTGTTCCGGGACCCTGGACGGTGGAGGTGGGCCAAGCAGAGCTCCAGAGAACACTGCTGGACTGTGATACACCTTCCCCAGACCCCACAACCTACCTATCCCTTAATTTGTAAGTTACACCATTAAATAAATCTCCTTTTAATTACGTGGAGTGGCCTTAATAATTTCACCAATATCTGGCACCCAATGTGGGGCATGAATTCACGAAAAAGCCTCACTCGGCCGGTTGTGGTGGTACACACCGGTTGGATTTGCTGAAGGAGGCAGAGGAAGGAGGATCACAAGTTTGAGGCCAACCTAGGAGAAGCTTCGACTGGGCCTGAACCACAAACAGTGGTGGGACCATGGAGGCAAAAGCTGCTGCTCCGAGTTGCTGGCTCCTTCTCATCGTGCTGGTGACTGCAGTGATGCCACTAACTGGAACAAAAGGTTTACCGCTGCTTGTTCAGAGAAGAATTGCCAGGACCATCGTGTTACAAAAAAAATCGGCAAAGGTCAGTTTGGAAAAGTTTGGCAAGACAAATGGTGAGGAGAAATTGCTGTGAAGATTTTCTGTTCTAGGGAAGAATACTCATGGTTCCCTGGATATTGGTGAGATTATTAAGTCCACTCCATGTAGTTAAAAGGAGATTTATTTAATGGCGTAACTTACAAATTAAGGGGTCTGGGGAAGGTGTATCGCAGTCCAGCGGTGTTCTCTGGAGCTCTGCTTGGCCCACCTCCACCATCCAGGGTCCCAGAACAGAGTAAGAGCGCAGCCCATCCAGATCTCATGTCTCCAGGTGCCTCCCTTGACCCCGCCTTGTAGGCGTGACAGTTGCCAAAGTCTCAATGGGGGTTGGAACTTCCAGATCAAAGCTGGAATGGCTACCCACTACACATGGCCTTTAGCACAGCAATAAAAAGCGAACTAAGACAAGGGCTGAGGTCAGGATTTCACCATGCTCCCTTCATTCTCTAGCCTTTCTTGGGTCCTGGGTACTTGAGCCCATCAGAGCAATGTCTTACTTATGTGTAAGATTTTGGAACAATGGGTATAAATCCCTTTCATCCTTGAAAAAGACTCAAACACCCACTCGTGAATTAGCACCACTATCATGTGTTTGTCAAAACTCACACCTGAAAGTTCACAGCTAAGAGAGACGGCAATAGAATCTCTAGTGGACTTGTTAAACAGAAGTTATTTTCCACTCCCCATGGGAGGAAAAAGATTCAGCAGAGGTGAAGAGAAAAGCATGCAAGGCAGGTACACTGCTCGCAGAGAAAGTGAAAGCACTTCTGCAGGGGCAGATGTTCCTCTTCCTTACTCTAGGATGTATCCCTGGCATGAGGAGTGGGGTTGGCCCATAATAAGTGATCGATACAGATTTGTAAAATGAATGACTGCTTTTCCTTAATAGATCATGGTGGAGTATAGATCATCTAACATAGGTACCTTGCAATTACTGGTTCTGATGCTTTCAACCACACATACATATTCCTTTCATCTCACCTTATGGCAGGATTATAGGTCACATTTAAACACGAATGTAACTTCCATTTCTAAAATGAGACAGCTAAGGCTTGCAGGAGCTAAAGAAAAGCTATTAGCTGCCAAAGACTTCAGAAACAGTAAAATCACAGACCCCCGGAACTGAAGTGTCCTCAGAGAGTTTCTCCCATAAGGCCTCGTGTGTCAGTGCCTCACTCAGGTCCAGGGAAAATAAATGAAGTAAACGTTCTCACTCAACTATGTGAGAAGAGAATTCAAATGCTCTGGTACTCACTAACTTGAGGGGACAGTGGCCTTGTTCCTTCATGAGGAGGACGCTGGAGGATTTACACAAAATTGGACCTACATAACATATTGAAAATATAATTCAGAAACTAAAACTTTTACAGAGTTTTGGCCATAAACTGTGGTAGACAACCCTCAGTTTCCTATCTATTGCTCAACTTCCTGATAACCATTGATGTTGCTAGAGTTTTCCTGCCTGGCCCACAGTCAGGACAAATCTCTCTCACCCGCCAGTCCCAAGCTGCTCAAACCCGACCAAGTAAACACAGAGACTTATATTGGTTACAAACTGTATAGCCGTGACAGGCTTCTTGCTAACTGTTCTTACAGCTTAAATTAATCCATTTCTATTAATCTATACCTTGCCACATGGCTTGTGGCTTACCGGTACTTTACATCTTCCTTGTCCTGATGGCGGCTGGCAGTGTCTCCTCTCTCAGCCTTCCACTTCCCAGCTCTATTCTCCTCCTTGTCCCGCCTATACTTTCTGCCTGACCACGGGCCAATCAGTGATTTATTTATTGACCAATCAGCAACACATTTGACATACAGACCATCCCACAGTACTTCCCCTTTTCTTTTCTTAAAAAGGAAGGTTTTAACCTTTACACATCTCCAAAGTCAGCTTGGTATATTTGGGAATTTGGGCGTAGCTTCTTTTACTACTTCCTGCTGGAGGGGGGCGCTGTATCTTCTGGGGACACAAAGAAAATTTTAGGATTATGGAGTAGTCCATGAGGGTGTATCGTCTGAGCCAGTTGCCTTGAAACGGTTCTGGATGTTGGATCATCTGGGCCATGGTGTCATCGGAGACCTTTCAGGGGGTCTTGGCTGGTCAAACCTGATGTGTCTTAATCTGGAACAAATCCATAGCCTCTGGCTTTCTGTGGAAACAAAAGCAGAATCTCCTTTCCAAAGCAACATATCCTTATATCCAAATTTTGAAGTCAAGGTACCTTTAAAATATACATTTTGGCATAACTCAACAGCTTTTGTAATCAAATGTTTTTCTTTAGTTACGAATATCAAAGAGAACATAATCCAGATTCTTTGTGTGGTAGCCATCTTTACGTGGCTTATTTTTTTATATTAGCTTGAGCCTATTGCTTTGAACTGCAGCCTTCTAAGCCTGAAACGGCGCTGGTGCTGTGGCTGCTGGCTCCGCCCACTTCAGCTTCCCAACATGGCGGCGGTATGCTTACCGCCAGCTCTGGGAGCCATCGTGGGTCTATGCTTTTATCCAAGCAGCATGTAGCCCAGAAACCTCTTTTTTTGTTGTTTTGTACTAGCAAAGGCTAAATCCATCAAGCAGTTTAATGTGCCACTTGCAGAGGACTCATTCCCGCCATATGGCGGCAGGTCGAGCGCGCACGCTAGGAACCGGCCAGTAGCTCAAACCAGCAGCTGCCACTCATTTGAGAGAGACAATTAGGAACTGTTTTTAGCTCCGTTTTAGAATCTTTTTTTTTTTTAGTTTTTAGGTGGAAACTCTTGCCACCATGTTGGACGCCATTTGTTGCTAGAGTTTTCCTGCCTGGCCCACAGTCAGGACAAATCTCTCTCACCCGCCAGTCCCAAGCTGCTCAAACCTGACCAAGTAAACACAGAGACTTATATTGGTTACAAACTGTATGGCCGTGGCAGGCTTCTTGCTAACTGTTCTTACAGCTTAAATTAATCCATTTCTATTAATCTATACCTTGCCACGTGGCTTGTGGCTTACCGGTACTTTACATCTTCCTTGTCCTGATGGCGGCTGGCAGTGTCTCTCTGACTCAGCCTTCCACTTCCCAGCTCTATTCTCCTCCTTGTCCCGCCTATACTTCCTGCCTGGCCACGGGCCAATCAGTGATTTATTTATTGACCAATCAGCAACACATTTGACATACAGACCATCCCACAGTACATTGATTTCTTTCCCCCTGGATAGAATGAGGGCAGTCACCAATTCTTTACACTTCCACGTTAAGTTTACAAACTTATTAACTTGGAAATTAAATAATATGTAAATTGTTTTTACTTTTGTCCCTGGTGAAATCATTAAAAAAGTTTTTTTTTAAAAAATACTTTATTCTTTCAACTTGAATGTTTTCAGAATAACACCCCTCCCCAAATGAACTACTGAAATTATAAATAAAGTAAGCAAAATAAAGAATACAAGTAGTTCATGATCTCACTTACAATTGGGATTTTTAAAGACAAAGGCTATGCCTCCCATAGTGGTGCACACTCATTGTCCTCAGCCTTGGGAAGTAGAGGCAAGAAGATCAAGAATTTAATTTCTTCCTTCCCTGGGTACATGGCATCTTTCGGTCAGTCTGGACTCCATGAAACCCTGACTCCAAACAAGGGGGGAAGGGGGGACTGACACATGAGGCTGTTTTCTCAACTCCATACGTATGCTGAGGTATGCAAGCACCAGCATCCATGCATACAAATGTGCACATATGTGTAGCTATCCTACATACACACAGATGTGCCCGCACACACACACACACACACACACACACACACACACACTCGTGCTTGCACACATACACACATATTCACACACACACACATACACACACACACACACACGTGCTTGCACACATGCACACACACATGCACACACACACAAAAACACTTTTTAAATCATTGAAGGGTGCAAAATTTCAATTAGATGAGAGGAATAAGTTCAGAGAGCTGGTGCACAACACGTTATCTATAAATAATGAACTACACACTAGAAAGTTGGCGAGACAATGAATTTTTAAACATTTCCACTATGAAAAATGGCAAGTAGGTGATATAATAAGCTAACTAGCTTGATTTAGCCATTGAAAAAATATGTAGGCAAATAAAAACATCATAAGTATGCACAACTATTTTTCAACTAAAAACAAATGAATGAAATTAATTGATACGTGGCTTTAAACTAAAACAATAAAAGGCTTAGCTTAGATTCTGCCATTATTGTTAACAAGGGATCTTATAGACAGTAAAATTATCAAACTTGTAAGGGAAGTCCAAAACCAGTTCGGCTAACTCTTAAAGTTAGGCTCTATTACTGACAAATGTCTGGGGGGAATGCAGCCTTTTCTGATGGTTATTGTGGTGTATTCACTTTTGCTCAATACTTTGAAAGCTAAATTTTTGTATATTAACTTCTTGCATAAACAAGCAAATGCCTTTTCAAGACAAACTGCTGAATTCTATGTGAAATGGACTACTGTACCCTCTCCAGAAATCACATCTCTCCTCTGCTCCCCAAGGCTGCCCTGATCTCCACCCTTCAAATCAAACTTTTAAAATATCGATGGCAGACTCTACATGCCTTAGATGAAGTAACATGGCTCCTGCTCTCAGAAAGCTGCTGTTCCTGCGGGAGGAAAACAGCATGAAATGTGAGAGTGCAGTTGTGAAGAGTGAGACAGGTGAGGCTGGCTGTTGAGAGCTTCAACCCCTCCTGACCTCCTCATTCCTGAGGCTCACACAGGGTATCTCGATGCTTTTCAATGCACATCAACATGGATATTCCATTTTTTGAAAATGGTCAAGCTGGTTTAAATATGAACACTCTCATGGTATCCAAACTGCCATGTCAAAATATCACATAAATACTGTTTCAATGGTCTCATTCTAAAGACCTCTAAAACAAGACTTACGTTATGAATTTGTTATAAAGAACAAAGGCATTTTCCAGGTTTCCTTCTTCCAAATACACGGATGCCATCCTTTCCATTTCCACTCCAGACCTGAAGTAACGGCGTGGGGTGATGTCTTCATTAATGGAGATATTACAACCAAGCTTGCTTAGGGCACGGACCCGCTCCTCCGGACTTAGAGAAACATCTGTATGATCAGGCATAGCAGCTAACTTCTTCTGCAATGTAACATTTAAATATCCAATTATAATTTTTTAAAATTACATAACTATTTACTTAATTTATGTATTTTCTGTGCCACAAACCCAATACGAATACCTCAGAAAATCCTGTCATAAAGAGTTAATGATAGGACCAACATAAAATCTTTTTGCATAAGCACACCCAAGACACACATCCAGGAAAAAAAAAACACTTTTATTGGCATAAGACCTCTTCATAAGTTTCGAAGTACAATCATGTGGCATTTCCTAGGTATGTAAGTGTTTTAGGTAAAGCATCGTATAAGCTATGGATGTTAACCATTCTAGGTCATTCTTGTCATAGGAGGGTTCATGTTATTGGACTCTGAGGTTCTCCAAAAAGTTGCTTTCATTGAAGTTATTGGTAGGATTTGGTTCTATCCCATAATATATCTGGTTTAATTGGGAGTTTCTAGGGTCTCCCTCCATTGTCACTGAACAAAAAGAAATGACAACTGAAAACTCCTGGAGAAGCCCTTTGGGAAAAAAAGAACACTGTTTAAGCCTTTTTTTTTTCTTTCTTTTTTTTTTCTCTCACAAATAAATCTAATAAACTTCCATATAATAGTAATTGCTCTGTTAATTAGTTCTCAGGTGAGAAAATGATAATAAATAATGGAGAAAAGTCGTTTCTATCGCTATCTTTGAATTTTACTAACAAAGCCACTATGTATACTCTGAGCAGTGCATGGAGCATACATACATATTCAGTAAGGAGGCGCTGTGCTTCAGAAATGCAAGACTTGGGAAATGTTTTGTTTTTTTCCACTAGTAAATATTTTATGTTCTTTGTTTTGAATTCAGCTCTCCCCATGTAAGAGCAGCTGTAAACAACGTGGGAACGGAGGCTGGCTCCTTGCCAAGGCAGTGGACACAGTGCTGAGACCTAGGCTTGTCTGCCCCTAGTTCAGACTTGTCTGTCTCAAGAGTATGGGCCAGACACCTGCAGCATCAGCAGTGACGGGGCCGTTCTTAAAAATGCAAATTCCTAACGGGCTCCAAGGAAGATCTACAAACTCAAGATCTCTGGAGACGGCTGGAAAATTGATGTTTCAGTTAGTGTTTGCAGAAGAACTTAAAGCATTCGCCAGCTTTAGACCACTTGACCATTATTTCACACTCCAAGAATGGGGCAACTCCAGAGAAAATTTAGCTCCCTGTGGCCTTCCTTAATCAGATATGCATAACTTATAAGCCCAATGACAGTGAAGGTGAAACATTTGAACAAAGTCCATAGAAAGCTCTGAAAAAAATTTTAAATCAGATATAGCTTTATTCTGGCCATGAATAACTGAGCCAACTGGGCAGAGTGCAGGAGATTAGATACACACAAGCTTTTCTTGTGTCATTTGATTTACTTTACTTCTAACTTTATAGCAAGGAGAACACTAGAAATCTGAAATGAATCTTGCTTCTGAAGGTTTAATATATAACGAGAGTCATAAAGCTTTTCTTCAGGTTCCATTATGCCGAAAGCAGCCACACTTCCTGTGCCTGTTGTTACTTGACTGGACCTGTAGCAATGAACATGAAAGCTCCTTCTTACTATTTCCTACCCAAGGAAGTGCCAGGGACTGGACTTCTCTCTGCAAGGTTTCCAGGTATCTTTCCTGTGAATTGTTGGGCTTACCAGGTCCAATTACAGTTAAAAAAATAGTAATATTTAGTCTCCTACATTCCCAGAGGAAAGAAGTTTCTGGTCTAAGTGACCACAGTAAAAGGATACACAAAATGTTGATGCTCACCTTACACTTTTTGATCTGTTTTCTCTTGGTCAAGAATTGCAAAACTAGAGGTATATGATGAGCAGCATGCAATATATGTTTTTCCTATCTTAGTTCATACCAAATTAAAACATTTCTTTCATTAGATAACAGGAACCAAAATACAGTTAGCAGAAAGAATTAGTTTATAGTTCTAAAGCACAATAGGGTGACAAAAGACCACAATTTATAAAGTAATATGAAAGTTTCTAACATAGAGAACTGGAAATGACATCTGTCCTGTTTTGATCATTGCAGAGGGTAGACATATATTGAATCAACGTCCTATACCCTACAAATACTTATTTTTTTATTCTGCTGGAATTTGTCAAAGGCATTTCTAACAAAATCTAACATCTGTTCATGATAAAATGCCATCAGTTGAACAATGGGTGACAAAAATGAGGTACCTATATACAATGGAATTTTATTCAGTTGCAAAGAAAAAAATTAAATTATGAAAATTTCAGATAAATGGATAAGACTGGGAAACATTATCCTGAGTGAGGTAAACAAGACCCAGAAAGACAAATGTGGCATGTTCTCAGACATAGGTGGATCCTGTAGCTAGAGTTTTTCTGCCTGGCCCACAGTCAGGACAAACTCTCTCACACCCGCCAGTCCCACAGCTGCTCAGACCCAACCAAGTAAACACAGAGACTTATATTGGTTACAAACCGTATGGCTGTGGCAGGCTTCTTGCTAACTGTTCTTACAGCTTAAATTAATCCATTTCCATTAATCTATACATTGCCACATGGCTTGTGGCTTACCGACATCTTCACACGCTGTTTCTCATCATGGCGACTGGCAGTGTCTCTCTGACTCAGCCTTCCACTTCCCAGCTTTATTCTCCTCCTTGTCCCGCCTACACTTCCTGCCTAGCCAATGGCCAATCAGTGTTTTATTTATTGACTAATTAGCAACACATTTGCCATACAGAACATCCCACAGCAGGATCCTAGCATCAAATCTAGTGTATTCAACTTGGAGTACCTGTAGAAGCCAGGAAACTAGAAAGGAGTCATAGATGGGATGGGAAGGGTTAAAAAAAGATCTTAAGGTAGCAAGGGACAGTAGTGCTTAGGTGATGTAAAGGGAGGAGAATGATGGGAAAAGAGGTTTAAGTAGGGAGGGGCTGAGGGGCAAGGGCAGAGAACAGGGTGAGAGAGAAAACTAACACTCAGGATGTTTGTAAAAGCCATATGGAAACCTAATTTATAAGCTTTCTAAATATCTGTCTATCTATCTATCTATTGAGAGAGAGAGAGAGAGAGAGAGAGAGAGAGAGAGAGATTCATAAAAAAAATGTAATTAGAGTTATCTTATCCAGGGGATAATGCTTCTTCGATACGGCAGAGATTGCCAGATAAAAAGCCCAGTGCCAGGTGAATAACACCTTCTCTCAAGCTGTTGATTAGGGGTGTTCTGGAGACCTCCTATACAATACAGGCTATAGTCATTGCTCTTGTTTTCCCACTAGAACTTGATAGTAAGACCCTATTGCTGAAGACAATACATACTTTGTTCACAATACACGGAGAAATCAAGTTAGCACTGACCAGGAAGTTACTCCCTGTTGGCTAAGGTGCTGTTCAGGTTGCTGATGGAGAAAGGTCATCAACAGTCTTACTCAACTACACATAACTGGTCCTAGCCAAGAACCCATGGTTGGGAGCTCATGGGACCTGCTACTATTATTTTGCTAAACAGAGTATTAAACTGCCCTCTAAATACCCACAGATCTGTGCAGTTCTTAGACCATATCAAATAAGTTTATTTGTGAAGTGGATGGCAGTTAATGCAGAAGCTCACAACTGGTAAAAATGTGGAGAATAATTGTCTATGGAGCACTCAGCCACAAATGGGACATCTGTATTACAGGCCTTCTAAGGACCATAATGGAAGAGGAGGCCGAAAGATAAGAGTCAGAGATCAAGGAGGTGCAAAAGAATGTCTTTTGGTCATGACAGATGCACTCATGAACTCAAAGGAAGTCTGGTCAACTACACAAGACCTATACAAGATGAAGTCAGTCAACACTCCAACATGAGTGGCGAGGGGCTCATGAGCTCCCACTTCCAGCTGAGGAGCTCTTGACAGTTCCCACAGAACTAGTAAGTTCTAGTGGGAAAACAAGAGCAATGACTATAGCCTGTATTGTATAGGAGGTCTCCAGAACACCCCTAATCAACAGCTTGAGAGACAGGTGACAGAGTGTGGCCCTCTGGTAAGTCAATCATGCTTTAGCACCCTGTGCCCATGAGTTGACAGGCAGCACAAATTGAACTCTGTGGACTATTAAAAAAAGAGAGACCCCCATGAAACTGGACCAGGCCCTCTGGATAAGTGAGATAGTTGATGAGCTTGAACTGTTTGGGAGGCCCCCAGGCAGTGGGACCGGGACCTGTTCTTAGTGCATGAGCTGGCTTTTTGGAATATAGGGCCTATGCAGGGACACTTTGCTTAGCCTTGGTGTAGGGAGGAGGGGACTGGACCTGCCTCTACTGAATCTACCAGGCTGGGCTGACTCCCCAGGGGAGACCTTGCTTTGGAAGAGGCGGGAATGGGGGGAGAATTGGGGAGGGGAGGCTGGGGGTGGGAGGAGGGAGGACAGGGGAATCCATGGCTGATATGTAAAATTAAATTAATTATAAAATAAAAATTTTTTTTTAAAAAAAGAGAGGACATACAGTTGGCAGTGAGTGTGGGTGGGTCATAGCTCTGAGAAGTGTTAGGGGAGGAATGGGGAGTTAATATGATCAAAACACATTGTATGAATGTATGGAATTCTCCAAAAATTAATAAAACATTTAAAAATATTTTATCAATAAGCAATAAAGTACTAAGTAATGAAGAAAAAGACTTCCACACACTCTTGCTTTGATCCACACCATACAGTACTGTTCTTGTAGTTTTCTGAATAATTTTCTAATTTACAGGGGGCCAGGGATGGAGGCTTGTGAACTGTGCACCTTAAGCTTCAGTATCAAAGCAAGCCTCCAACTACTATGTAAAGGAGTTGAGTGACAAAGGGACTGATGTACCCAACATGATGTCTACCCTGAAATCCCCTCTAGTGTTTTTTGAAAGGACTTATACTCCTAGCATCTAGCTGCATAGATTCAAATTTCACAGATTTGTGAGTAAAATGCTATTTTTGTCTTGCAAAGATGACTTTATTAGTCACTTCCTCGAAGGACACAGCCACACAGAGGGTTACAAGCCTACAGGGAAGTGCTCTGCTTCTTGAAGTACTTGTGGTCTTTTTCACAGTTGGTCCTTTCTGTTCTTCTTTTGGAGCTTTTCAACCATAGACCAAGTGTCAGTTGGCTGGACTTACCAGTGAGTTCACCGTAAACGGCTGCTCCATGCTGTCCTGTCTGCAAAGGCAAGGTGCTCCCTCTTTCTTCTCAATCACTTCATCTGTTTCAAAGACACAAAGCAAAGCTGAGGTAACTCTGTGAAAACTCATCTCAATTCCCAAGTTTGAAAGGACATGAACACTTTGAAAACCTTACCCAACCAGAGTGCCTAAAGAGACTATGTATGGAGTTCTTCTCTAGAAAACACAAAACCATGGGTGATTATAGGTTCTTGAAATTGATCTTCAAAGGTGGAGGGATGCAAGGAATTCACATTTGATTAGCAGAGTGTATGAAGTTGCTCTGTGCTAGTTTATTTAGAATCCTATGCAAGGCTATATATAAAGCAGCCTTACTTCCTTCAAAAAGAAAAGAACAGTTGCTATAAACAAGAATGCAGAGGCCACTGGCTCTTTACCTGGAGCCAGGCTGGGTTTGAACAGCCTTAAAGCTGCATTTGGCAGGTGTATAAGCCAGCTCTTTGAGTCCTGTCATTGTGAACCATGGTTTGTGGAGTCCCCTCCCCTTGAGAATGGACAAGACCTGTTCTTATTCGTCTTCTGCCTACTGAACATGATAAATGAATGGTGTTCCCATAACTATGTCCCATCACATATCAAACATATGAGGATTTATGGCAGATATATTAAAGCCCCTTAAGCAGTTGGTATTAAGTTAATTAAAACCCAGGCTACCCTGAGGTCTTTACCAAAGGAAGTGAGACTTTGAACAGAAGCAGGTGCTCCGCTTGTTTTGAGATCCAGATGTCAAAAGTTCTGCAGCTGCAAGAAAGCTAATTCTACCAAAACTCACAAGAACTTCAAAGAGGAGCCACAGCCACAGCTGAGCCCCTACCCATCAACACCCAAGTTACACATCCCTAGTCTGTTTTTACTTGGTCAACAGCTTGACTGCAGCCTTAGGATAGCATGCAGAGAATGTAGGTAAAGCCATGCTCAGACACATGTCCTACAAAATCTGAGATGACTGTAACCTGTCTTTAGCCATTAAATTCAAGGAAATGAATATGGTAGCAAGAGAAAACCAGCCAGCTGTGTGACTACAGAGAAGCTATAGTGTTGGGGCCTCTGAATGGAGAAGTAATAGTACCAATGGCATGGCTGTAACAGGGATTAAATGAGTTCCTATCCCATAGCCAATATTCTATAAACATTAAAATGGTCAGAATCTTTATTTTTTCAGTTGAGGAAACTAGATTTCCACCTGAATATGTCCAAGTTCAAATCCTATCTCATCAATTGCTAGCCTTTCCTTTGTACATCGGTGTAGGTCAACCTCTCCACCCTCTCTATCCACCTGTCACCCCATCACATCTGGACATTCATCTTCTCACATAGGAAACTATGGAAGGTGATAGCCTCTTAAGTTGTAACATTCTATGATTGCAGAAAGCTTGACCAATCAGATCAATCATCTCTTCTCAATGTTTTCACCCCAAACCCACAGAATCCCTTCAAAGAAAATGACTCTGCCTCCTAAGCTCCAGCCTTTTCCCTCTGGTCTCCAGTTAACCTTGGAGTAAATGCTGAGTGGTACACCTGAGTTACAAAGATGCTCAGGAGAGAAACTGCCTTGGAGAGCTACAGCCACCAGTCACAGCTGTGAGCAGATCACTCTAACACTGTGGCTGATGCAGAACGCAGGCAACTCTCCCTGGGGAACTGCCCCTTCTCAGAAAACAACAATGCTCAAGAGTTGAAGAGACTCCCTGCTTGATGTGGTTGCACATGTCTGTTTCCTCAGCGTTAATGGGGTAGAGTCAGTATGATTAGAGTTCAAAGTCAGTTTCAGCTACAAAGAGAGCAATATAGAAAATTGAAGGCCAGTCTAGGCTAAATGAGACCCTCACCCTGTCTCAAACATCCTACAGAAGATGGGGAAAGGGAAGTTACAGAAAGAGCCAGAACAATGGGAATGGGTGGGGGAGGGTGCATGGGAAGAAAGAAATACCAATCAGTCATCAGGCTTCGTAAAAGTAGAATTACTTCTGGAGAGGTGGCGGTCAGAATTTCTGTTCAAGGTCATTCTGAGCTACACATCAAGTTCAAGGCATCCTTGGACTTATAAAGCCATGTTTTTCATTAATTAATTAAAATGCAGAGTCCGAGAACACATCCACAAAGATTCTAAGACCAAGAACAGGCATTTTAGAATGAAGCCCAGGATTTCCATACAAGAGCTTCCAGAAGCTACTATGAAAAGAACTGTGCCTGCTGCACTTACAAATGTATATCATGCAAGATTCTTAGTTGCAGGCAAAGGCCCCAACTCTTGAATTCAGAGAATAATGGAGAGATCATGTATTTCCAGGAAGTCCGGCGAAATTGGACTCTGAGACTGCATTTCCAGGAACACCACTCCAAATCTCAAAGCCTGGTAGAACAAAACGCCCCCCTACTGTCTCTGTTACAGCTCTCTCTACCAGAGACTCCTACAATGAATTGTTGCTGTGGAAAGTATGTGCAGTTGCCTGAGGGGTTTCTACAAGTCTGTAGTTTCTGTATCACAGCATGAAACATAGATGTTCATCAGTTATGCCTAGGTCACATGCCTGCAGCCTGGCTGTAAAGAGGGCTGACCATGACCATGACCTATTCAGCATTTCACATTTCTATAGAAAGCAATAAGTGTTCCAAATGAGAAATGATGTGGGTGGCTGGCACAGCAGTAAGTGTACAAAACTGAATGAACAAAATTTTCTTTGTAATGTATTTCTGTTTGTATAAAATGTTTAGTTTATATATCTTAAATACCAGAATTAATTAGTTTGACACAATTAAAATAATCACTTTGAACTTTCACATGTAAGTTTATTATTCAATGGTAGAAACCAACCCTTCCCAAATATAAGATAAAAGATGTTCACAGATTGGTTGACCTGTCTTTTGGACTGTTCATTGCTTGATGGCACTGTTCCCGTTGGAGTTCCTATAGTTTGAAGTTGCCTGCTCTGGGTCTTACAACGGCTAAAGAACCACAAAGTGGTATGCTGTCTAGGTCAGGCATCCCGAGATACTTTCAAGGGGCATTAAAGGTCAGTACTATTTTCATGATATTACTACAGCATGTGCTTTCTGGTATAAGTGTGGGTGAGCACACATGTGGGTGTGTGAATGAATGTGCATATTTGCCCACAAGTGTGGAGGCCAGAGGTCAATGTCAGCTGTCTTCCTTAGCCACTTCTTTGCCATGTTTTTGAGACGGGATCTCTCCCTGAATGCGAAGCCCACTGGTTGGCTATGCAGGCTGGCCAGCAAGCCCAAGGGATTCCCTATTATCACCACCCCAGGGCTGGGGTTACAGTCAAGACCTTCCTGGCCCAGCTTTTACGGGGGTGTTGAGGATCTGAGCCCAGTCCTCAAGCTTTCGTGGCAAGCGCTTTATCCATCAAGCCATCTCCCAAGCCCCATTATTTTTGCTTTTTTGGTATTCATCTCTTACAACCGTGTTTTAGAGAGTTCCAAGGGGTAAAGCAATTCATAAACCCTCCACTTCAATATTCTTACTGTCTTCTTTAATATTTAATAGTGTGAACAAACAACCTTAAATCTTTTAACTCTTTAGTAATGTTTTAGGAGCAAAAAAGTTTAAGTATTGCTTTTCTATGACAACCAAGCAAACAAACAAAAATTCATTATACTTTGCAGTGCAATCAGAAATAAAGCAAGCTGTAAGAGTCTAACTCAGGAAAAGTCAATGGCAAGGCTGCCTCTCCTTGGTGCTGTTTGTGTCCTGATGAAATAACGAGAGAATTTAAACAGTAAGAGACGCCCAGCTTGACCGTACTGAGGCCCACCAGTGCAAATACAGCAGGCTGGTGAATAGCTCCCAAAGTCATTCTCTCTCTGATATAAATACGTCATTTTCAGTAGATACAGAGCACCCAGCTCAGACCCACATTTTCCAACTTTATGGCCACGTCACCAAGTCATCGGCTACAGAGTGTGGACAGAAGTAAGGCAGTCAACATTTGAATCCTGAAAAGGATGATGGGAATGATCGAGAATGAGAGGAAAACATCTTTGGCCTGGGTTTGCAGAACCCGGGGACTTAGGACCCCAGAAATTCAATGGTCACTAAAGTCAACCTGAGATATATCGTGGTGCTAAGTTGGTTGTCTGACTCTGGTGATGATTAAAGATATGGAACTTGTAGGAGAAAGCAATGCAGAATTCTCTAAATTAAAAGAAATTAATAAAAAATGAGGAACTGAGGCAAAGTAAAATTCCTAAGAGCAGGAAGGGACTTCCAAGAGAGAGGAAAAAGTTAAACTGTTTCGTCTGGGTGGGGATACAGTATTCATTTAGAAACTGGATGAAAACTGAGGTGATTTCTATCCAGACTGGTTAGCACTCTTGGAATAATATCACAGGTTTGGCTATTTAAGGGCTAACATCTGTCCATGTACTGGTCCAGTCAGAAGAGGTCATGTGTTCTGACCCATTACTCCCCTCCCTGTGCCCCTCCCCCTGTGACTTCTGCTTTATCAGCTATTGACCTTTCTGTGAGCTCTTGGCTCTGACTGGAATTGTTCCCACTGACCTTGCAGGTGTTCCGTGCTATTGATTAATCAGTGCTCTTGGTTCTCACATTTATGAGGCCAGTGTGAAGTGTCACCATGGAGCTAACTCCTTTCACAACTACCAAGATGTAGCCACGGTAAGATGTAGACACAGTTGTCCTCAGTTACCTCATATTGAACTCCTTGTCTGTGTTCTGGGTAGTCTCTTTCCTAAAATGAGTGGAGGCTTCTAGAAGCTGTCCTTATTTACTATTCAGTTTTTGCAATCGACTGCATTAGCAGCAAGAACATGTGACAAGGACAGCAGTGTCCTGCACATGCCTCTCAAGGCAGGGCACTCCAGAGCAGGCAGCTGGCCTGTTAATAACGCTGGCTCAGAACCCTCCCTTACTCTTTATATGACCAGCTTGGTTACATGATTCGCAGCTGCAAGCTCTTCAGTGTTTCCTCTCTAATGTTCCCACACTCTTTTAACCCCAACACATCTGTTCTCACCCTAACGTTTGTGATAACACATA